CGGGAGAAGGCGCCCACGCCTGGCGCTCCTGGACCCTCCCGCGACGCGGGGCGAAAGTGTAGGGAGCACCAGAATTTCGCGATGCCTTCGTCTGCATTCTGCTTTCCACAATGCCTCGGTGTCCCCCGTGCGCCCCTGGGCCGGCTGCGGCACCGCCCCTCGGAGCTTGAAGAGCCCTGGAAACCTCTGCAGAGCGAACTACCCCGTGTGCCCTTGCGAGGCCCGGGCAGTGGATTCCCCGGGCAGGCATCATTTGAAAGTGCCACCTGCAATTCACCCCACATCCGACACCGGCAGCCCAGCCAGCCCGCGGCGAAACAGGTGAGTCCTAAGGCAGACGACGTTAGAGGCAAAGCCAAGACTGGAAGAAAGAGCGGCGTGGGGTGCGGTGCGGTGCGGTGCGATGCGCTCATGTGACACCCGGGTAACCCGCCTGGTTACTGGGAAGGGTTTTACTTTGCCCTCCACTTTTTACAATTTTGTAGGACGGCCCGGTGCCCGCCAGAGGTCACCCTACGGAGTCATTTTGCTCTGGTTCTGGTGTGAATTCCTCGTGAAAAAGGTAGACAACTCGACAACTGGAGATCTCTCTCACACAAAGTGAAATCAGTCTGGGTGGCTTCTTAAAGAATTGAAAGTCTCTTCAAATTGTTTATCCCCAGACATGGATAATTTATCTTAGAAGCACTTAATGTGATTAAAGGCTCAAAAACAGGAGTTGTTTATTTGCTAAGTAGCTAGAAACAAGGAAAACATCCTTAAGGAAGTGAGTTTTAAGACCACATCGAAGGAGGTGATGGCCATGAGTTGGCAGAGAGGAAGGGGAAGCATTCCAAATAGCAGAATCTCAACTGTAGAGGATTAAAGTCTGTAGAGAAGGTATTTAATGCATTTGCTGGTTGAAACAATGGGGAACTGCAGTATTTGGATTTCATTCTATAAGAAATAGGATCCCTGAAGGTTTTAAAAACAAAAATGGACTATAAGAAGAATTAATACTGAAAAAAAAGAAAATGGAAAGCACAGATACTGTTCATGGCATTTTTCCCTTATAAAAAACTTTTTAAAATACAAGATTAGCAAGATATCAGAGCTGTGGTAATTGGATATCTTTCAGTATGATTAAAAAAAGGGGGGAGGAGGACTGGGCGCAGTGGCTCACACCTGTAATCCCAGCACTTTGTGAGGCTGAGGCCGAGGACTGCTTGAGCCTAGGAGTTTCAGACCTGCCAGGGCAAAATAGCCAGACCTCGTCTCTATAAAAAAGTAATAATGTATTTTTTTAAGTACAGAGACTGCATATTTATATATATATATATATATATATATATATATGTATGTATACACACACACACACACACACACACACACACACACACACAAACCCCTACACACATTCAGAAATAGCTTGATGAAAGCATTATTTCAGGAAGATGCTTTTACCCTGTCGGTCATTCTAAGGAGAAATCCATTTCAGCAAACTGGAAATTAGAACCCTGACCCCATGTTTGTAAGGATAAGGAAGGATTCAGTCTGAGAAACACTGAGGTCGGCCGGGCACGATGGCTCAAGCCAATAGTCCTAGTCCTTTGGGAGGCCGAGGCTAGAGAATTGCCTGAGCCCACGGGTTCGAGACCAGCTTGGGCAATTTGGCAAGACTTCATCTCTACAATAAATGAATTAAAAAAAAAATTAGCCGAGCATGGTGACGCAGACCTGTAGTTCCAGCAGAGGCAGAGGATTGCCTGAGCCCAGCAGGTCGAGGCTACTGTGGCCATGAGCATGCCACTGCCTCCAGCCTGGATGACAGAGTGAGACTCAACTTAAAAAAAAAAAAAAAGAAACATTGAGGTCAAGACCTCAGCAGGTCTTGAAGCTGGATTTGTTATAGGACATGAGGAAGGAGAAGAGTTTGCAGATATGACCCAGAGATGAGCCCGGCTTCACCCCAGCAAGAGCCAATTTATCAGGACGTCATTAAAAATACTTTCCAGAAACATCACAAGCAAAAGACAGAACTATTATGTCAATTATTTGTTCCAGCATTATTGTACAGTATTTATTTCCTGTGTTCTCTATCTAAAATCCCCTGACAGTCTCTTGATTGAACCAGTTGAAGAAATATCTCATTTTAAATTAAATTTGAACTTAGAAAACAAATTAATTTGATGATAATACAATGTGTGTCTCCTAGGTGTATTTTCATAAGATTTCTTAGAGAGATAGGTTTAAATCATTTCATTTGTTACAAGAGTAATATTCTTATTTGATTTTAATATCATCAACCACTGCTGCTTCGGCAATACCCAAATCATTTCCTTAAACAAAGAAAACAGTGAGAACAGAAATGATTGGCTTGTCTCGATAGTCTGGTTTAGAAAGCATTCTTGAAGCCAATTCTGTTCCTTTGTACTTTGAGAAGACGATGTTGAGAATTATTACATCTCAGTTCTCATCTAGATTTGGGATATTTAGGGTCTTCAGATCTAAATCTTTAGAATACATTAAAACGTAAAGGCACCAGGCAGAATTTTAGAGTGTGGAAGAAACTAGAGGTTTTCAAGTGTCAGTTTGTCAACACATTTTAGGGAGGAGTAACAGAGCTTCAGAGATGCAACGATTCCCCAGCCACAGCATCATGACAGAGGAAAGGCTAGAACCAGAATTTCTATTCCAAACACTAGTCACTCCATCTCCATGCCTGGGTTGCTGCTGCTACCTTTTGCCCCATCTCTGCACTCTGGTTTTTTCCTAGCTCTGTGATTCCTATATAATGCCATCAGCTCTTCCTTCCATCTATTTTCTTCAATGCATTCCCAGTTTAAAAACCTAAAAGGACTTTATGGGTCTGTAGAATTAGACATTGTCTGCACAATAAAATCCTAGATCCAAATCCTGGCTCTCCCTAGATCCAAATCCTGGCCTGTGCAGCTTACTCACTAGGTGACCTGGAACAAGTTCCTTACCCTCTTTGAGCCTCTGTTTTCTCCTCTATAGTGTAGATAATGATCCCGACATCAAAGAGATGATGTAGGGATCAATGAGGTCATGTGACGGTGCCATGTGGCTCAGTGTGTGACACTGGAAAAATCCACTTCATGTATGCTTCCTTTAGTCCAAATAGGCCATGATCATTTATTGTTGCTGGGTTCCACCAGGCATGGTGGCCAATGGCTGTAATACCAACATTTTGGGAGGCTAAGGCAGGAGGATCGCTTGAGCCCAGGAGTTCAAGACCAGCCAGGGCAACATAGCAAGCCCTCTTCTCTACAAAAAGTAAAAAAAAATTAGCTGGGCGTGGTGGCGTATACCTGTATTCTCAGTCACACAGGAGGCTGAGGCAGAAGGATCACCTGAACCCAGGAGGTTGAGCCCAGTGAGCTGTGATTGTGCCACTGCATGCCAGCCTGGGCAACGCTCCAACTCAGGAAAAAAAAGAAAAAAAGAAAATCATTCCTGGGTTCTAAATAAATACAAATTGGATAAGTAGTGAACTGATTTAGCTAAACATGTTTATTTATCCAACAACAAAGTACGCTGAAACAATAAACTCAGTAAAAAGGTAAAAAGTTGTGGTCCTTAAACCACAGACTCTGAACTGAAAAGATTCCTCTTTTACATTGCATAACTGGAGGTGTCTGGGACTCTGAATGAGCTGCCTGCCCCAAAGCTTTAGAAATTGAAATACCCTGTGGGCACGACTGTTCCATGCACCTTATTTATCAACTCTGTCTGCTTTAAAAAGCCCTTGCTCTGCCTTAATTCATATTTTCAGCGTTTGTGTTTACATCCGCTTCTCAGCCTCTGCAGAATCAGTCGGTGCTTTAAGAAGTCGGCTTTTTGAATGGCAATGTAGCCTTCAAACTTCTCTCATTTTGTAGAAATGAAAGACTAGTAATATAGCCCCCTATGCAGTTAGCCCTGTAGAAGATGTCGTTTTAAAGACCACCAGGATTAGCCGAGCTTGGTGGCTCAGCCTGTAATCCCAGCACTTTGGGAGGCTGAGGCGAGTGGATTGCCTGAACCCGCAGGTTCAAGGCCAGCCCACGCACCTTGGCGAGATCTCATCTCTACAATAAAATAAAAAATTAGCCGGTGTGGTAGTGCACGCCTGTAGTTCTGGCTACTTGGA